CCACCTAAAGTGGGGTTTGGAGATGGTTGGGGGGGGGGGGTGGGGGGGGGGGGGGGGGGGGGGGGGGGTGTTTAGCGAAGAAACATGTGGTTGTGGTCAAGAAGGATGACATGCAGGTGAAATGAGGTTGAAGGTGACATTCCAACAATGAACCAACAGCGGTCTTTCTGGCAGTCGTCACCGCGGTTCTCGCGCAGCGGAATGCAGCTGATAAAGCTGCATTCTCTCATTCCTGCTAAGTGCTTTTCAGTTTTATGAGGCAGAGGAGGACATCTGCTTGCATCATTGGCCCTTAGAGGAAACATCTCGAGGGGGGGTCCTTTGATTTTCCATGGAAATCTATAATGTGAAAATGCTATTTTTGTCTGTCTCTTTTTGTCTGCCTCCGTGACCTGCTAATGCTCTGCTATCACACCCCTGGGTTTCGTGAGCTGCCATGTGCAATACGGTGAAGGAAGGGAAATGTTCTGCAGGTGTTTGGTTTTACTGGTCCTCAGGTTCAATTCTGCTCCTTAAACCTACTACGTCCCTCGGGTGCCATGAGAACCTCATTTACTGTAAATACCCAGAATTCCTAAATCTTTCAAACCCTATGTATTTTTGGAATCCCTTGGTTGTCTTACAAATGTCTCAGATGCTAGAAGTCAAGGGAGGAGTGAGGTACGCTTACAAAAACACAGTGCATTGGAAAAGTATTTACGTACAACAGCAAACATCTATTAGTTTGTAATCCTTTGGGGATTTCTGTCAGAGACTAAACGTTGCATGATAGTGAAAAAAACAAACATGTATGTTATTTTTCAAATAAGAGTCTGAAAAATGTGTGTGTTACCAATACACCTGAATGATTCCAATAATACATTTTTATGTCTAACCCTATGTTGTGTTGACAACATAGCCCAAGCCCAGATACACTGGATGGATGGACACCGTCTATGAAAGTCGGTTTTCTGACATGAATATTCTTTGATCTAATTCACTGCAGCATAGGTTGAGCTAATTGTCATTCTGAGTTGCTGGAAGACGAATCAATCTATTGCCCAGTATCAAGTCTTTCCTATCTCTTAAGGCCGATACACACCGGCTCCATTGGCATCTGAGCCAATGGAAAATTGGATCTGATGATGTACATCTCAATTACAAGAATCACGACAGACTCCACGACCAACTCTTCGCTCACATACAGGCTCTGACACAACGGTCCCTCTACGGACAAGCAAGATTGAGTATTCATGTGATAGTATGTACACAGCATGAACATGAAGTAAAACATACCCACTTTGGGGGAAAACACAAACTAAAATATTTTACTTGCAAAAAAAGCAATATACTGACTCATGGCAGGAGCTCAGAAGTACAGAAGTACATGTTTATGCTGGGGGGATTTCCAGTACGTACTCTCACAGGAACACTTGACCTTGTGACCCTAGTGGTTCATAACGGGACCTTCAACTCAAAGCCTGTATCTCAGCGTGAAGGATCAGACACAAGCGGTGTGTCATGGCCTGTGACAGTGTTTCTTTCCCCGCTGAAAAGCAAATCATTCCCACAACATGATTCTGCCACCATCATGTCTCACCATAGAGATGATGTGTAGTGTGAAATGCAGTGTTATGAAGCATACGGGGTGCTCATCTGACATGGTTTGTGGCGACTGTAACTTTAAAAGTTACATTCCAGTTATCCTGGATTTTATTTAGTAGTATCAAATTAAAAGGGGCTTAAAACTCCAGCATGCCCTTACCTTTCAGATTTTCATTCGCTAAGAACTTCCACTTCATACATTTGCACCTCCTTGCCACTGCCTATCACATAAAATCTTTATAAAATACATTGACATTTGTGATTGTAACTAAAGAAAATATGAACTCTAAGGGATATGAATAGTTTTAGACATTCTAACCCAACCACAACTTCCACAGACACACACTCTAACACAGAGAGATATGCTATAAACCCCCTGCGATGGATTCCAGATCAGGAATTTAATGCATTTCTGTTTCGCATCACCTCCCAGGAATGCAGCACGCGTGCCACAGGCCTCATAACCTCATCACAGTGATTATGAGGATATATAAAGATGGAGCGATGATGGGATGCAGACGCTGCTGGGGGTTGTGGGGAGAGCTGGGAGTGATCGGAGGCAGAAGGGTAAACAGGGCGCATCCGGCATTCTACTCAACATTAACGTCGAGCCAACTTGTTGTATAAAGCGGTGTTAGTGCAGCTGTGGTATGTGGAGACTGCATCTGGACAACAGATTTTTTTTTTTTTTTGGAGAAGTGGGGGGAGATTTGTGTGTATGTGTTTGTTTGGCCCTTCCCTTTTCGCTCAAATGACTGTTGCACGATACGGAAAAGGGATGGAGTGAATTAGCTTGGTTGGGGATTCTGTGAGGATGGGGTTGAGGAAGGGGTGAAATAATAGTGGAGATTTTACAAGGTAGATTCATCTGCATAGAATGTGGATACAATTTTTCTGTTGTAGGATGTCAGTCATTGAGATAATTGAGTTTTAGGACCGGACGTTCATTGCTGGGTGGATTTCCAGGAATGATGTGGAGCTGGGGACTTGCCTAGGTGAAGTGGGGTGAGGCAGCCGAGAAGTCGTAAAAACTCGGAGTTGACATTTTTTTTTTTCTTTAAAGTTTGATTCGGAATGCAACAGAAATTTTGAAACTTAGATGGGGGAAAATAACTGAAGAGCTTACACACGAGAATTTTTTTTTAACCAATATTCATTATGATGTCAATGCTGGTCTTTTTAAAAATAGATTTTCTGGCTCCCAGCCCTAAATCTGAAGTCAGAAAAGTCTGAGGGACAATAAGCAGGGACGATGTTTTTCCAGCCAACTCGAAGTCTGTCGGTCTCTTCCCCTCCTGCTGAGCCTAATTGAAATGCCTGATAAGGTTTGATATTTTTCTTTCATTTATTGGATTGCTTTGCCTGTTGTTGCTCTGCAATCCAATAAATATCTCTTTTATGATCCGTGGAAGTTGGGCGCCTGAAATACGTTCAGAACTATAAACACACTGACCTTACCTGACTGCGGGTGAGCATCAATTTTATCTTCGACTGTACTGAAACACCACTGTAAATAAGAAAACCTGTTATAGCCTAAAGACTGTAGTCTGGAACTGAGGTCCACCATACTGCAGGATAAAAAATTACTTGTCTGTGACTGGCTGGTGATTTGGATCATTTACATATAACAAGTGGCGAGCACATAGAAACAGAGCTGCGCGAGTATTATAAAATCGGAGCTAGCAGAGAAACAGTTGCGCGTGAGCAGAAAGCAGATTGAGTGAGTTGTCAAGAGATGAGCGCGTGCCGAAGCACTACGGAGTGAGCTTTTGTGAGATTTAGGGTGCGTTCACACTGCAGCCTGAAGTGATCCAATTCCAATTTTTTGGCAATTCCGATTTTTTTTTGCCGGGGCCGTTCACACTGCCAGTAAATGCGAGCTGTTTGAATTGAATTGCTTCAGTGTTTGCGGAAGTAAACATGTAAACATGGAGGCTAACGGTGGAGCTTAGCTTACATATCTGAAGTTGTTGTCCGGCCAGAGCAGCATATTAACAACTTAATCCTCATATAATCCGCCATGGTTGTTGTTTTTCTTCCCACTTGCGCTTATCAGGACGCAGAATAGTGAGATTTGTTGAGAATCAGTGACGTTCAGTTCGGATGAATGCGACCTGGACGTTAGGTCGCACTTGAATCGGATACGTGTCGGATATGGGTCACATTCGAAAAAGAATCCGACCTATGCTGTTCAGACTGCCATGAGAAGATCGGATACAGGTCGCATTATGTCAAAACAATCGGAATTGGGTCACTTCAGGCTGCAGTGTGAACGCACCCTTAAACGCACTTGATTCAAATTATTGCTCGTTCACAAAGAAGTGTGCGACCAGATAGCTCACTTAGCCCAATTGGTGGCGCAGAAATCATGCCATATTTTCATTTGATTTTGGTAGAACTTTATTCCTAAAGGGACTTAAGGCCTCTGTGAGGGGGAAAAGCCTAAATGTGCTTATCAGACAAAACTAGAATGTGGTTTTATTTTGCTTTTGTAGAGACATGTTTTTTTTTGTTGTTGTTTTTTTGCATATTCAAGCAGTTTCACTTTCAGATATTTTCAAGTGTTCATATTATTTCTCATTTTACAATTGGAATTCACTTTGGGAATTATTTCTGTTTAGTAGTTGAAATAACAGTAAGACTTTCTATTATATTGAACGTCCATATGTTTGTTCGTTTGTTGTTGTTTTTTTAAAAGAAAAACTGCAATTGCATTTGAAAACAATACGAATAGAAACCCACTGATGTGAAAAAGTGCAAAGGTTTCTCCACAAGAGGGCAGCTGATGCTCAGCAATAAGCTAGGTAGAAACTTCCTGTGGTGCAAAACAGGATGCAATATTTGAGAGATTGAGGCAAAGAGATAAAGCTGGAATCTATAGATTATTTTTCATTCAACAAAGAATCTCTCCAAAGATTTTTATGAGTCTTTTCCAATATAAAACTTTCTAAACTAATACTTTTACAGTAATGTATAAATGTGTACTTCCAGTGACAATATGCAGTATTTGCAGCAAACAACAACAAAGCTGGTGAACAAACAAGAGGTCTCACTTTGACATAAATAGGTGTGTCTCTGTTGATTTTTTGGCCAATACTTGTTTGTTCTTCATTCACTGAAGTTACTCAAAGTTGGCAGCATATCCAGAAACTACACTACGTTAAAAGCGACACTTCATAATATTATTCAATTAAAAAAAAGGGTGGTTAGTTTTTAGTGAACTGAGATTGTTGGAATTAATAAATATTTTTAAGCGGCAGTGTTGTTTAGGTTGTTTGTCCGGGGAGGTAAATATTGCGCACAAAATAGATATCGTTTAAACAATAATAAGCATATATTTGCGTCAAATTTCTACATCCCCTTTCATGCTTACAAAAACAACAAAAATACACAAAAATATATTCTGATATGCTTAAGAGATGAAAACAAACCTACAATGTCATAAATCACAATGAAATCAGATGTCAGCTATAGTCATTACTCTTTTTACATGTGATCAAAAACTGTTCTTTCAAATTCTACATCTATATTTAGTGTTAGCTTGTCCCAATACTAACTGTAGTATTAAAGATACAAATAAAACAATTTCATATCATTTCATTCATTATTACCAGTTTTGCCTGTTGTGTATTTAGTGCAAAATTAGTTGTGCACAACAAATGAAGGATTTATCTTTTATTAACAATAGAGTAACAAAACTGATTGTTGTGTTGGCTATATTTATTATTGACCTTGGCGCCCCCTGTTGGCAGCTCTCTTAATCACAGGCCTCAGCTGAAGGAAAGTCTATAATGAAAACTGCTGTGCAATGGAAACAATGTTGGGATGAAGAGAGAAAAATTAGATTCCACAACTCAGAGCATAATTAGAAATCGTTTTTATTACACAGCTCAGTCTCCAGCTTTTTACAAATGCATATATCAAAAAACAACAACAACAATCACAGGAGTTAATCAGGACATTATGAGTGCAGCAGAGACGTCCAGCAGTTAGAAGTCCTGTTTGTAGTGGATGCTGGCTAAAATGACAAAATGTCTCATCTTCATTTTAAAACGGTCCCAGAGAGTCCAGGGCGTTGGACAGATTTAGCTCCTGAATGTTTTTACTTTTAACAGCTTGAACTACAAGCCTTTTGTTAGCTTGAGAATCAGGTTAAAAGTAGTGCGTTGTTTAAGTACGAGCAGAGAATCGGTTCCCTCATTGGATGAGATAAGCCAACATCCTCCTTTAACCAGCTGCACATCATAAATCAATCAATTTGACAATATGTACAAACAGCTAACAATGTTACGGGGAGCGGACGGGCAGATCAACTAGCTCGTTGTTCGTTGCTCCTAAATGAGTTTACAGTCACAGCCACATTTTACTGGTTGCAGTAGCACAATTTGTCACTGAAAAGTTTCAAATGTCCAACCTTTTGATGACAACAATCAGAGAGGAAAGCTCTAAAAACAAAGTGGAATTAAAATCAAGAGGTTGCACAATTTTAGTGTCTCTCAGAATTTATTTTAAATAGATGTGGCTGAAAGAAGTTTAAAGCATCCTTTATTTTTTGAAGTTGAGATTTAAGGGACTTCCAGATATTATTCCATTCAACCCAATTCAAACATACTTTATTAATCCCAAAGAATACTTAGATCATCCTCATATGATCACTTGCTGTCTGGCCTAAGAGACGGTTCAGGGAAATCTAGAAAAGAAAACATCAACACCCCTCTGTCTGTTTGCTCCATTTGGGTCAAACGTTGCATTAGAAGAAGTTTGGTCCTGCATGCAAAGGGAGTTTCTCCCAAACCGGAACATCAGTAATTGCGCCACCAGTGATTTAATGCAATCTTTTTTTTCTTCAGGTCTGATTTATATCCCCACTTGGCCTCAAAGTAAAGGCAGAATCTTTTCTAAGGTTGTCATTTTTAGACTATGCCACTCCATGTGCACCAGAAGCACAGACAAATGCAGACTGCACACTGTAGAAAAATAATAAAAAGAATACTCACAATAAAAATGTCTGCTTGTTGTATTGATATCAATGTATTAGTGTGCTTGTCCTGTTTCTGCGTAGGACAACGGATCAGAATAAATCACTAGAAGAAACTGAAGAGCAGGACGATGCAGTTTTGTATTGTGTTTTTGTGACAATGTCTTAGATTAATGACTTCATATCTACAGCATTAACATACCAGCTCTGCTGTATTTACAGCCTTTAACTAGACCCTGTGACTGTCTGTGTTCCAGTGTTTCCTCACCGCTGTCACAGACGTCTGGATTCTTCACTGGATTCAAGCTAAACTTGGTGAATCATGTTTAAACTACAGCTCTGGTCTTTAGTGTTGTACACTGACAGTACGGCTGGTTAGTCTATTGCTGGACAACACTAAAGATTCATTTAAAGGATCCAAACTAATCAGTTAATCAATGCCCTAATTTAAAAATGCCTCAGTTTGCTAGTAAACCAGGTATTTGTGTCCGGTTGGAA